CCCCCCCCCCCCCCCCCCCATACAGATATTCTGCATGGGGCTCAGCTGTACAGGACTTTGCCCCTCAACGACATCGCAGTCACAACCGAAGAACATAGAACATGGGCAAAGGAAAATGGCATGCAGGACTATTGGATCTCCCCCCTTTCAGTCGCGATGTCTGTGCACTTTTCGGGGGGCAATTTCCCCTGCCTGCTTCGGAACTTGTCCCCGCACCATGGAAAACCGGATGCGTGCTGGCCGCGTTGGTTTAGCCGCGTTGGTTTACACTTGTCACTTACTTGCTCTTGAAGTCCTTTGCCAAATCACAGCATGCAGGTGGCGGGGATTTCATCTAGGATCTCGACCTGTGTCACTGGTCGTTACAAAACAGATCGGGCAACTAGGGAGAAAAAATACGACGGACTCCAAAGAAGAACCCGAACACAGCTCTCAGGGCCACAGAGCCAAATCAAAGCCCTTTCACAGATTTCTCTACGACCCAGGACACGGCTCTTGCCTCAGGGATCTCAATTTTGGTTTGCAACATCGTTCTCTCATCTCCCTCTTTGCAACCGCTGCCTCCTCCAGATCGGCTGTCGGTGCCCGGGTAAAGTCGCGAGGCTCATTTTTTTGCAGGAAGGCGGAGGTGGCTGAGGCTGAGGCGGAGGTCGCCTCAATCTCAAAGGTGCATCTAGAGAGCCCACACGCGGAGCAAGCAACAGATGAAGAGCAGAGGTGAGGACGTGTACCAGGTGGTGGCTGGCCTGCTTCGGCACTGCCAACTTGGAAAAGTGACTGGACATGCCATAGCCTGTCAGTGGAACAGGAAATGCGCAAGCCACGAGCCCTTGCCTAAACTTTGACTCTTACGATTCGCATGACCTGTGCTGTGTGCCAAGGAAAGACAAGAGTGTCAGGCACCGCTGAATACTCGGACCTCGCGATGCAGAGGACAGCATATTCCATATCACCAAAGCCCAATGTCAAAGATTTGGCCTCCCGAACCAACCTAATCGTTTGTTCACGGCCTCTTTCAGCTTCACCCATCCAGAAGCTGGCAAACGATGTTGGTGCTGTACTAGGCGGCAGGGAAGAGCCTTTTTGACCAGGTCGGAAGGTCTAGTCCAACGGCTAAGCTGGCCAGTTGCAAGTTTGACTTTGCCTGTGCTTGCTCGAGCAGTAACAGCGGAGGCCACGGGCCTGACAGGAGCTAACGGGAAGCCGGGAGGCTCCCAAGATGTATCCAGGCTCCCTGCCGTCCCGGCCCTTCGCCAAAGGCAGTGCTTGGCAGATGCTGACCGACCTTAACTCGAGACAAGACATCACTTAGGCCGTGTTTCGTAGACCCGAACATCCTTCCACTATCCCACCGCTTCGCTGGCTCGCCATGTCTCGCCTGCTTGATATCCTTCAGCGCGGTATTCAGCTCTATGCTCTCGTGCGGAACAGCCTGGTACGGGGAAGAGCTTCTGGTCCGAATCTGACCCGCTAGGAGATGATGGTGGACGCAACAACGAAGGTTCTCAAATCATAGTTGGAACGAATCATCTTTTGCTGCTTGGTTTTTTGGCTCTCACGCTCGACGAAGTCAGGCGAGGTGTACAGTAGCCACACTAGTTACGGCAGCCTCTTTTCGAGCTGCAACCCTGAAGGACCGGCACTCATCACGAGAAGGCCAGGCCTTACAAAACTACAGGGCACAAAACGACAGCATAGCGGGTACTTTCTGCATGGCTTCAGCACGACGGGGACGGGCGAACAGCTCAGTCAGCTCCTGTAGCCCTGAAACTTTCTGTCCCCTCATTTCAGAGACAGTCCACCGACCCTTCCAGAACATCTTTGTGCCAGTGCCCTGGCTACAATGTCCTGCACGACTTTCTGACTGACATCATAGCGAATCAGCCATAAGTTAAGCGACGTGCAGGGAGGGTGCTTGGCTTGCGGCTTCTTCAGTATTCATGAAGTGCAGAGGGTGACGGGGAAGGGGCAACGGCGAGCGCAAAATGCTCATCGCTCGTTCAGCACATGCGGGTACAGTATCAAGTGCGAGTTGCGAGTGCAGCTCAGGAGGCGAGCAGCAAGGATGTGCCAGTCAACTCCTCAACTGTTGATCCCAGCTCCCAGGGTCCTGTACGCCTGCGCCAGAATCGAGCGTGTTGGGGGCATGATCTTTGGCATCGCCGCCGGCTTTAGACTTCGGCTGATCGTTGTGAGGGGGGTATGGTGAGGGACACGGTTCGCAGTGCAGCCCAACCCACCCAAAACTGCTGCTTTGCAAATCACCGCCAGACCATATGGCAGGGTGTGGCCCCCCATCCCCCCTCACCCCATGATATCCCCCCACACTCCGGTCCCTTGCTCAAGAGTCCCGAGTGACTGTCAATCAAGCACATGCTCGGGATGACTTTTAATGTGCCCAATCGAAACTGAGCATAGAATGACAACGGTCGATACAAAAAAACAAAGGAACACCAAGCCAACACAAGCTATTAGCGCCACTGTCCCCAGCATCATAGTCATCATTCTCATCTGTGTGGAGGAGAGGGGGGGTTGCTCGATTTGCGCGAAAGCTCCAGAAAGACGTTGACAGTTACGAGGGTGATGACGCGGACCAGCACCATCCCTTGACTGTTTGCTCGGATGGGGGATGTGGGGGGTGGGGTGGGGGGGGGCACTGACTCGGCAAGCAGGACCGGCCGTGCTGTCGCAGTGTTGCCAAGCGTGGCCGCTCTGCCCGCGGGCGCAGTTTGACCGCCCCAAGGTGCAGTGCAGCCACTTGGCAAATGCAGTCAGGCGGTGCACATCATAGCAGTGCGAAAACGAGAAGAACTTCTCACACATGACGCCGTGTCGAAGGCCTGTCCTGAACCCGTGGACAGCATGTCTTCGTCCAACTGTTTGCTGCTGCATGGCAGCTTGTGCCTGAATATTCGATATCGGCTACCTTGTGGTATGGCATGACTGTTCTCTGATTCTCTCGCCGGTGTATACCACGGCGCGTCCAAAACGAGCAGGAATGCCCCCACATCTCCCAAGAGTCTCCCAAGCATACCAGGCCATGAGCAGCAGTCCGGACGACAGGTTCGAACATGTTTCTGGTGTTGTGAACCGATACGGGCGGAATCAAGAATCAAGACTCGCCCATTCGGATCGCAAGATCTTCCTCAACTTCCCGACCAGAAATCACTGCACACCATGTCAGTAACTTGGTGCATGCCTGCACAATGTTTTCAGGGACGGAATCCTTGTGTTTCGCGCCGGCATTTGACAGCTCCTGGGACTCAATGAAATCGACTCAGTGACAGTTTAAGCTTGATGACGGCAGCCACTGGCGAGCAGTGTCGCAGGCCTGGAAGGTGTCCTTGGCGAGCGCAGCTATTCGGCTGCACTCCGTTTGCTTCTTAAACAGTGTGCACCTGAAGGAGGGTCGAGCGCAGCGATGCGGCGAGGTCTGATGGCTCCGGGTGCAGGGCTTCCTGCTCACTGGCACATCTGAAGCAAACCACGGCTTTCAGATCCATCACATGCACCGCGCGCTACAATTTTCTACCTGGTGGATTCCTGTGCGGCTCCTAGGGTGAAGAGGCCGATCAGGAGCTGAGCAGGGCAAGAAGGTGCAAAACCATTCGCATACAACATCGAACTTGAGCTGATGCTGCTGTCCCGCTAATTTCTTGTAACGCATGGCCTTCATTAGCCAAAGGCAAAGGGGAGCTGCACTGCTGTGCAGGTACCCATAAACCGCGCTTCAGGAGCCAAAGGACCAGGGCGTTCAAGGAACTGTGCAACCGCAGCCCCTCAATTCACGCAACCTGCTCACCGGCTTCTCACGTTGGGCATCTGTCCTCACTGTCTCAGCCCTCGCCGCTTAGTGTCATGTCGGAAGTGCGCCCCACTGCTTTGGTGTCGACCCGGTGAGACTGAGGCTGCGAGACATCTGAAGCAATTCGGCAAGACAGGCACAAACAAGTCTATAACTAACACGTGTATGCAGGATATGAAGGTAGGTATGTCTGCATGTCTGCATGTAGTGCTGCTACGGCCCTCCAAGTGAAACGGAGGGTGAAACCAAACCGTCACTATTAAGATACTGTTCAGAAATGATTCGACTCACACCTGGTGCAGCTAGCGCAGCACTCCTCCATTTTCGAAACATGCAGAGGCAGAAGCATGCCAGCAGGTCACGAGGGAGCGTCGTTTGGTCTCGCTATACCCTGCTATTTGGGTCCTGCAGCTGACTGGCTCTGAGTGCTGCCCGATCCCCGGCGTGCTGCGGCCGAGCCCGGTGCTCCGAAGAGCCCTGCACGAGTATTCAGAACTTGTTCGACAGGGCCACGCAGGGCTGCAACATGGCCTTCGGAACGTGCCGGGTCCTTGCTGGTGAGCGGCCCTGACAGTGCCAAAGGGCTCAGCCCCAAGGCAAGGATGCCTGGCCCGCTGTCATCCTGAGGCAAAGCGCTGCCGCGCTGCAGCTCTCACTCTGTCTTTTTTCCAGCCTGTGCCGAGGTGAGCCGGCGAGTTGACTGCAGCGGACGCGTCAGCAGCATGGGGTCCTTCAGCGGACGTAAGCACATGTAAGCTGTTGCAAGAGGTCGCAGCTTGCACCTCCTCCTCCACCGGAGTACGGCGTCCTGTCCAAAGCGGCTCAAGATGGCTCAAGACTTCTAAAGAACGACAGCATGCCTGGCTGGCGCATCTGGGACCTCAGCTGGTGAGGGTATGCACCAAGGACAGTAATTAAGTCAAGGGAACGAAGCCACTACTACTTCAAACAGCCTGTTTCAAAGTGGGCCCTCGACGGACGCAAAGGCCGCTCGCGCTCTGTAGCAGCCCTTATACAGCGGGATGAACAACATGAACATCCGTGAAGAAAGTCATTACTGAGCTAGTGCCGGGCACAGGACTGTTCCTGCACCTTCGACCTACATTGAACCTTGCCATAACCTTGCTTCTTCATCGAGATCTTTCAGCATGGTCGCTCTGCGACTGCCTTGCAGAACACTGTCTCCAGGGATGTTGCACAAAGGTGTCCGATTGATTATTGGCAATGGCTGCTGTTCGGTGCAAGCAGCAGCACCCTAGGAACCTGTAACACCCTTTAAGACTACGAACTACTGTCCATCCTCCGACAAGTTCACACGCCTCCTTCTCAAGGTCATTCTTACATCCCAGCGTGGAAGTTTACAGGCAGTTCGTCCACCTGTTGTTGGCAAGCCGTTGAGACTGCCTGAGCTGAGCTCCATAGTCAGGGAGTGGGACTTCGGCGGTGCCCGAATATTCTAAGGCCCAGACTAAGGAACCAGGAAGGAACCCAAAACTACCATCAGAGTTCTTTAACTTCGAAGACTCAGTCAGACACCGTCCCCTCATCTTGTCCTGGCCAACAACAGCAAATGGATCAACACTTGAGGGCCGGAGGCATGGAGAACGGGCGTCTTTTTTCAGGTAGATGTCGGCCAGGCAGGTCAGCGGGGTTTTTATCCGCGCGAGTACGGTAGTAGTAGTCGTCATAGACAAAGTAGCAGTAGTAGCAGTTCTGGCAAGAGTGGCAGTACTATCAGCAGCAGCAGCAGCCGCCGGAGGAGTAGTAGTAGTAGTAATAATAGTAATAATAATAATAGGAGGAGTAGCAGTAGTAGTAGTAGTAGCAGCAGCAGCAGAAGTAGTAGTGGTAGCAGCTCATAGTGGCAGCAGTAGCAGCTGCGCAAGCAGCAGCAAGAGCAGGAGCAGCAGCAGCAGCAGCAGGAGGAGTAGTAGTAGTTGCTTGGTCACTCACTTGGCACGCCATTGACAGCACAAGTAGTAGTGGTTTTAGTAGTATTAGTAGTATTAGTAGTAGTGGTAGTAGTAGTAGTAGTAGTAGTAGTAGTAGTGGTAGTGGTAGTAGTGGTAGTAGTGGTAGTAGTGGTAGTAGTAGTAGTAGTAGTGACAATAGTGGTAGCAGCAGCACCGGCAGCAGGAGCAGCAGGAAGAGGAGTAGCAGTAGCGGTAGCAGTAGCAGTAGGAGAAGTAGTAGTAGTAGTAGTAGTAGTAGCGGTAGTAGTAGTAGTAGTAGTAGTAGTGGTAGTAGTAGTGGTGGTAGTGGTGGCAGTGGTAGTAGTGGTAGTGGGAGGAGGAGGGTTGATTACGTCGTAATCGGTCAGAGTGCTCCCAAGCCACGCTTCGAACCATCGGACACATTGCGCAAGCAGTTATGGAGGAGGC